CCTCCCTCCCCCTCCCCCACCCCTCCACCCTTCCCCCCTTCTCTTCCCCCACTAGTGCCCCATCTGTGGCATCCAGCTTCCTATGCCGCAGCGAGGTAAGGGCACCCGAAAAAACCAGTCGCTGATCGTATGTGGACCCGGCTGAGCTGAGCCGCCCCAAGCCGACCCGATCCGAGTCGTGTTTTAGTGTTTACCTAATCGTTTGCTTTGCAATGCGGTTTTTTGGTTTATCGTTCTTTTTGCAAAATTCTACCCCTGCGAACTAAATTTCTGCTTTTTTCCAGACTAACACTTGCGCTCATTTGCCGGTATTTAACTTTAGCCACAGTCGTTTTTTGTACAAAATGGGGACTTTCTATCTCGATGTTTCACAGTGCTTGTTGCGCTAGCTGATAAATGTTGCTTACAGCGTGCCGATCATGAGACAAAGCTTCACGTCACTTTTTCCCATTTCCCATACTTCGACTGCTATTCATCGTTCGTTTACTTATTTGCTAAATTCTGGAATACGGTGAACACTCTCCTGCAGCTTCATGTTGTCAATTCATTTGTTGGTGACGGTTCTTTGCTGTGGGGATGCAAGGTTTGGTATTTATTCTCTTTTTTTGTTAAGAAAGTGGCATTTTGTAGAATTTTTCTGGATTACCTAAAATTTTCTAAAAGTTTGATAAGTCTCTGCAAGTTTTGCGCACGTTTATTTACCTTTTTGATTTTTCTGGTCCAGAAGGGCCTTTCAAAAGAAAAAAAAAAAGTAAGGAAATAGCTTTTTCTCCAGCTTTTGAATAGATTAGCCTATCCTTTCACTATTCCTGTCATAATTTTTTTTTTTGTACGGTTTTTTATGCGTTTTTGAATATATGTAAAAAGAAAAAACGCATATTGGGAGGAGGCTGTCTGTGTGTATGTGTGTGTGTATGTGTGTGTGTGTGTGCGTGCGTGTGTGTGTGTGTCTGTGTGTTCACACTTTTTTTCACCCACTTTCAACTCGAGAACCAGAAAAGCTAGAAGGTTGAAACTTTGGGGGTATGTGCCTATACTATGCGCGACCCTATACTATGCGCGTTTTAAGTTCATTTCCTGTGGATGCCTGGGTGCCGTGTACGGAAGCTTTAAAAAAATATGCAAATTTTTTAGCGGGAAAGCGATCTCGGGAACCACAAGAGCTAAGGGGCTGAAACTTTGTAGGGATATTTATTCCCTGTGCATATACTAGCAAAATATTTCAAAGTCAGCTTCCGGTATGCGTCGTACTCACGCAAGGGCGGTTGAAAGCTTTAGGGGGAAAATTGCTAACCCGGGTGCAGGAAAGCTAGGAAGCTGAAATTTTGGAGGAATGTTCTTTATCGAAGTACAATTCAAATATTTCAAATTCAGCCCCCAGCTATCAGTGGTGCTCACGTAAGGGCGTACGAATTTTCTGCAGGAAAGTTTCGGCAGCCAGAAGAGCTGGAAGGTTGAAATTTTAGGGTGATGTTCCCTGTCCACGTACAATTTAAAAATTTCAAATTCAGCTTTCCAGGCACGTAGGTTATTCACGCACGGACATTTATAATTTTTGGCGGGAAAATTGTTAACTCGCTATCCAGAAAAGCTGGGAGGCTGAAATTTTGGGCAAATATTCCCTGTTCAAGTACAGCTCAAATATTTCAAATTCAGCCCCACGGTATGCGTGGTATTTACGTAAGGACTTATGAAAGTTCCTGCGAGAAAATTACTAACTCGGCAACTAGAAAAGCTGGAAGGCTGAGACTTTAGGGTGGATGCTCCTTGTCCAAGTACAACTTAAGTATTTCAAATCCAGCCTTGAGTTACGCATGGTTCTTACGTATGGGCACTTGAAATTTTGGCTGAATATTTAACTGAGCAATTACA